CCGTTTTCTTACATAATACAGTTTCTTGGCAAATGTTACCCAAAAGGATTGAAAACTAGAACACGTCCCCTCCAGCATAATGTGATTTTGTGTAAAATACCAAGGCATTTTATTGCTTTGAAATCCAGTTAGGTTATTAGTTGTGGTCAGGTCATTTGCCACAATGCTTTTGGTAGATGACACGTGATGCAATGCTTTCGGTGTGAAAGCCACACTCTTGTGTAGAGCTAATAAACTGAATTTAACTCAGGTTTGGATTTTTTCAAAAGGTTGATAAAGATTTTATTCCTGGGCTTATGTACATTCGAGACAACGAAGCTACTTCAGAAGAGTTTGAAGCTATGAGCCTCCCATTCACTGTCCCTAATGCAAGTGGTCAGGACATTCAGTTGAGCTCCAAGTACACCCATATTACACTGGATAACAGAGCTGAATATGTGAGGCTGGCAATAAACTACAGGTTTGTTGAATAAGTTAGTCAAATTATCCGAATAAATAATCCTCTGTGTGTGTGTGTGAGATTTTTTTTTTTTTTTTAAGAAAACAATAGGTGTAACCTTTTAAACAATGTGCTTCTTGAGCCTCTTATGTACAAGTATTTTAATATTTTTATGTGATTATAGTGTTGATTTTCTGATCTCTTTTTATCTCCCCAAGGAGAAAAGATTAAACTTAATTTTTGGGAATAGTTTTTCGGAATTGGGAAATAAATGAGTAGGCATGGCTCTAGATTTTAATAGCTGCCCTCACAGAGCAGTTTTTGCAGTTTTACAGGAGGAGAAATGCCACGTCCTTCTAGTTCTTCCTTTATGATGAAGCAGCAGGCTTGAGATCTCATCTTGCATATATTCTCTCATACCTTTAGATCATTAAGCTCTCTGTGAAGAGAGCTTAGGTTTAATGATACTGCTCCCACAGTTTCACATACTGTCAATTGAAGTCAAGAGCAGTCACAGTTTAATTCTTACTCTATTCTCATCGAACTTTAAAAGCCCAAAATAAAATGTTCATACCGTGAATACCGTAAAATAAGTTTCTTACATCCATGTAAGAAACACGCCAAGCAGTTGAGCATTGCCCTGAAAGCCGTTGGGAAGTCAGTTGTCAGCATTTACGAGAACAGGCCTTTGCTTACTTAGATACCTAGATAACTAATCTAATCTGAACGAGGATATTTAAGAAGTACACGTAGGCATCTTGTTATGTGAAACTGTGGGCCTTGTCCATATAGAATTGTGGAAAATCGATAATTTTGAAGAGAAACTGATTTATAGTTGTTTTATTCTCTCCACCACAGTTAACTATTTTAGTGAACACTTGAGCCATTTTGCATCATCACTATATACTTGCTTATTAGTTGCAGCAGCTACTTGAATTACACTGCTTGTCTTTCTATAAAAGCTTTCTGCTGGAAATGGTTATGAGCCAACACTTGCACCTCTTTTTGACAATGGAGAGGAATTTCATTTGTAATGGATAAACAGTATGTTTATATAAAATGCCAAATAGTTACTGAAGCATTACATTCCCTGGAGGAAACGATTTCATTCTCTTACCATTTCTGGCTATTCTCAAAGGGCACCAGCTATTCTAAAGCATTTTCTAGTTAAAAATCCAATTGGTAGACACATCTAAATATTTAGATTAGTATCAAATTTTTTAATTACATGAAGCCCTTGAGAGGAAGACTTGCATCTGAATAGAGTCCATGTGGAAAAAGTGGGATGCGTAAGACCAAGTTTTTCCTGAGATACCTTTGTTTTGGTGATGACAAGCCCGAGGATGGGGCTTGTGAATCTCAGGTCTGGTGAGCTCAGAAAGTAGTTTGACAGGAGGAGGGAAGGGAAGGGGGGGGGAAAAACAAAAAAAAAGCAAAAGCCAAATCATGTGTAGCAGCAGAAGCAGCAAAATGTTAGCATTACCTGTGATTGTCTTAAAATGTAGTAACTCCCTTCCTCAGGCCTCATGCTCTAGTTTAGACTCATGTTTCTCTTAACATAATGTCTGTCCAGCATTGGAAATGTTTGAGGGCAGAGCATTAGAGCACAGGCATTCTTTTCCCAAGGAAATGGTGCTTCCAAATGTGATTTTGGTCCATTCTTGCCAGGCAGAGCACCCCAGTAATACTGGAGTTAAAATATCCAAAAGATTGGGGGGCACCTCTTCATACTGAGCTCACTATACAGCATGAGTTGGTGTAGGAACTGGTATGTGAAAAGTTGCCTGTGTGACAAGTGTCTGTTGATGTTCTCTGGCAGATAGCTGGGGACATGGGGACAGTACCTTAAGTGTGTTTAATACTGAAATAAGTATTAGATCAAACAATTGTTAGAAATAGTGTTCATGGAAACTTGAATGTATTGCAAATGTTTCTCTGCAGACTTCATGAATTTGATGAGCAAGTTGCAGCAGTTCGTGAGGGGATGGCCCGTGTTGTTCCCGTTCCTCTACTTTCACTCTTTACTGGATATGAACTGGAAACTATGGTATCAATTTCTGTTTTGCTACCTCTGTCAGACTGAGATCCTTCGCTTATTTCTTACTAGTCCAAGGCTCACATTTTAGCGCGGTTTACAGTGTTCACTCTGTGATTGCAAACATTTTGTCCAAGTGAAGACTAGAAAAAATTTTACTTTTGTGTTGATGTTAAAAAGGTTGCTTTAATATAGGTGAGCGGGGATGTAATGAATTATTTGTGGGAGTAAAAATTAGCACGTATTGAATTCTGACAGCAGTTTGGTGGAAGTTCATGAGCAGTGCTCGTAGCTCTGCATTGTTAAAGGTGAGTTGGACATATTCTTCCCAAGTAAGATGCTAAATACTTTTAGTGCCTCAGGGGTATGAAAGAAGGTTAGTTTTTGCCCTGTGATGGGAAGATGTGAATTTATTATCATTTTAACAAGAGAGTATGTGCAACATTTGAAGTATTCGAATATTCCTTTTGTCAGTGTAAAAGCAGATTAAACCTTCTGAGAGAATGGAGGGAACAAATCACTTATTTGATCAGCCTTTTTTAGCCTATCATCGTATTTTATTTTTCAGGTATGTGGAAGCCCGGATATTCCACTTCACCTTCTGAAATCTGTAGCAACATATAAAGGGATTGAACCAACTGCTTCCTTGATACAGTGGTTCTGGGAAGTGATGGAATCCTTCTCCAATACAGAACGATCTCTCTTCCTGCGTTTTGTGTGGGGCAGAACGAGGTTGCCCAGGACTATTGCAGACTTTAGAGGGAGGGACTTTGTTATTCAGGTAAGAGGTGGGGGTGTGGAAGTCCTGTTTTAAGTAGCTAGTAGTGGAGGCAGTGGTAGCCTGTCTCATAAGAGAACAGGCTGATTTCATTAAACTTTCAATGTCAAATTTCACTGTAGATTTGACAGTGCAACAGAGAGTCCAATAATGTGCATGACTGTTTCTCTTTTTCTGGTTCTGTGTATTTGTTTGTGTTTGGCAAGTGGATATTCTTCCTTTTATTAAGATTCCCAACTGTTTACTTCTCTAGCTGTTGATAATGTCAATCTTCAGTTGTTTTGGATGGCATTTATTTAGCATTTCATTCAGTTCTGTAATCATTTCAGCTACTTTCGTAAATGCAATTTTAATTGGAAATCCTGTTTTGGTATTTGCTGATATATTACAATTTTTTTTTTTTAATTGTTCCCAACCATATCTTCATAATCAAGAAGGTTATACTTAGTTTTTTTATTTAGTGTAGGAAAAATGGAGTTTTTTTCATTGTTCTTTTAAGAAACTCAAGCATCAGAATCACGAATCTAACATCCTGTTTAAAAAATTCTAAAGTACTATCTCAGTATTCATTTTTTGTATTCTCAGTATTCAAATTTTGGACAGTGGATCAGAAATGTGTTTTTTGTTTCTGACAGGTATTGGATAAATACAATCCTCCAGACCACTTCCTTCCTGAGTCATACACTTGCTTCTTTCTGCTGAAGCTGCCCAGGTATTCCTGTAAGCAAGTACTAGAGGAAAAACTGAAGTATGCCATTCATTTCTGCAAGTCCATAGACACTGATGATTATGCCCGGATAGCATTGACAGGAGAGCCAGCTGCAGATGACAGTAGTGATGATTCTGATAATGAAGATGCAGATTCTTTTGCTTCAGATTCTACACAGGACTATTTAACAGGGCATTGAGAAAATAATGGAAGGGATAGCTGTCACAAGCACTGAGGCAAAATGCCAAAATGACAATGAAGCCAAGGACAGTTTAGAGTTGAGAATATAGAGTATGTATAGCCAGAGTTGTGCTAATCTTCTGAACATGGGGAAAATGTGTTTGCTACTCACAGTAGGAATTAAAGGTTACAGCTTAAATCATCAGCTTAGAATAAATGGCACAGTATATGGGCACTTAACATTTATTTAAGAGCTGAAAGTGGCCCCCCCGTAATGCTGCACTATATTTAGAACCTTTGTGTTTACTGAAGTGTTGTAAATGTTTATATAAATATGGTAGTGCAGCATCCAAGAGGAAATGAAACCTTTAAATTGTGGGTGCGATAGTTCGTTTTTTTTTTTTTTTTTCATAGTAAGTGTTGTGTTCTGTGCATCTTCTTGATTGTATATTGGAAATACGGTGCAACAACTAAATAGTATTATAAATATTTCAACTAACTTTACTAGAAGTTTGTTAAAGATTTTTGAACAATGAATTAATGTTATTCCTTGAAATTCTTCTATAGATAATAAAAATGGCCATTAAGTTTACTTTCACCCCGATTTGTATATTTTAGCTTATGCATTATGTATCTCAGATTTGATACCTTTCTGCAGACAGCATCATAATTCTTATCATGGAAAGTGTATTGTATATAATTTGTGCCATGTAAATGCAAAAGTTATAATTTCCCTCCAAATAAAAGTTCTGCCACCGAAAATATTACTGTGCTTTTTTATGGTCATACAGCTGTTGCGTGGAGTGAATATTGCTACAGCTATACTAAGAAATTTTTCTGAAATTTACAGCTGTTGACAAACATTGCTGCTGCTCCACCAGTGTGTAACTGTGGTAAGTGCATTACCACCACAGACTGAACAAGTGCTAAAGGAAACTCAAAGCAAGTCTTCACAACTGGGGTAATGGTAGGGATCATAAGTATTTTCTTTGCAATTGTTCCCAAAATTACTTTTGTCAATAACAGTGAATTTATTCTTGTAAACCTGAGAAAATATTCTTGGGGAAAGTGTAAGGGACAGATGTCTTTTAAGTAGCTGAAAATGAGTACGAAAGTGCATAGGATTACATTATATATCATGTTGTCCCTGAGAAACTCCAGAGCGTTTTGCAAGACTTGATTGTGAAACGTGTGTCTAGAGCAGCCTCTTTGAATAACTCATTGAAGTCAGGTGGCCTTCAGGCAGCTATTGTGTTCTATGCAATAAATTATACTAGTCTTTCAAAGCAGGAAAATAGTAGTAGATGTAGTTGTGGCAAAGCACTAATCCAGTAGAAGGTAGTATCATACCAGTTTGTCAGTAATTATTAGAAGAGTTATATGTGAATATTTAACTTACTAGAATTCAGAGTTGATTCATTTTAGTTTTTTTAGTGCCTGTATTTGACTTCTGTTTCAACTTCCATACATTTAAATATTAACTTTGGTCAGCAATCACTTTTCCTGAAACGTATGTGATAGTTTTATCACTGTCTTGGAACACTATTTTTTGTCAAAATGTCATAGTTTTGAAATTCCTTGAGCTTTAGAGACCTCTATTTAGCGCTGAAGATCTCTTGCAGCAAATGCTCTCGTACTGATACTCTGTCTTCTTGTTGGAGATTCCAGAATTCAGGCTTGTGCTGTCTCTTCCAGATTTTCTGTGTCTAGTGATGGAAAAAGTTGAGCCTTTTTTTTGTATCTTAAAAAAGCCCCTCAAACTCAGGCAATCTCTTTTATCTTTGCTGTTGAATTGAATTTCTCCTGAGGTATAGAATCAGTGGAGAGTCTGAGCACAGAAGTACTCATGTGGTCACCGACTGTTCTTTGCCATGGTAACACAGAAGCCCTTTAGGCATCAAGCTTGATCAAAGAGCTTGTACAGTCAGATTTTCAGGAGATGTGATGGATAAGGCAGGCCTAAATGCCACAAGCCCAAGGGCTGTGATTTTGAGTTCAGTTGCCATTCTTAAATTTCAAACCCCACTTCAGGAGCGTATGAACTACTGTAAAACAAGAAAGTTTTGTAACTTGCTTGAAAAAAAACTTCTGAATGTCAGAGTGTTTTCCTTCCAAAGAAGGCAAAATTTTTTTTTTTGCAAGGCAGCTGTTTACATTGTTAATTAGTAATGGAGTAAAAGAACGTTTTTAAACCTCTTGCCTTGCTTTCCCATCCTAACAGGAGAGTCTCCGGTGCTCTCTTATAATGTGTAAGGCCTATCACCTGTGCCCTGACCTGCAGTATAGCTGGGCTGGCAGATTGTCACTCTTGAAAAGTTGTTGTTTCAAGCGGTCAAAAAATGGGAATTGCTACTGCCTGGCTTTTAGATGGAAATCCTTGCTCTGACAGGGAAAAGAGCTCAACCTTTCAAAAGAGGAAGGAATCGCTATCTCTTCTTTCCCTTCCTCATATATTATTCCCCTGTGGAACTGAAGGAACAAATGATGGTTTTATTTACTAGAAAGCTTTGCCTTACTGGGATTAGAGAAGACTAAGAGCAAGCTCCCTTCCCATGCTCAAAATTACCCTTACCTGAATAAACCTGAATAAACTCCTGAGTAATGATTTCTCCAAAACGACTTAATGGCTCCTAAATAGCCGGTGAATAAGGGGCGGAGGTCATCCAATCCCGTCGGTGACTTTAGGGGACTTACACTATATAACTTCTGAAATCATGGTACTCGTTCCCAAATACCATGTTAGTCAAAGAAATCTCTAGGCTAGGGTAAATAAGTACCTTCTTCCCTGAAAGCGTCTTTCTGAGCAGGCCAAATGCAAAACTAAACCATACAGCAGCACTCCTTCTAGGAAAAGGGGAAGCAGTGGCTTTCAAAGATGTTATTGGTAAAATATGCTCACTTGCAAATACATACATTTAAGGAAAATGTGCAGATGCATAGCTTCCTGTAGCTGTTGCCTTCTGAGGTTAATCTTCAGATCAAGCTTATAAGTAAAAAGCAAGGTTTTAATTAAGACATGCCGACATTGTTCTTTTACTTGAATGGGATTCAGGAGTGGAAAAGTAGTGGAAAAGTTATTCTGTCACCGAAAGGCCTGTCCTTACCTTAACGAGTGAAAACTCTGCAGCAAAGCAACAAAACAACGTGATACAAACTATGTGCGAGTTGATGTTCCAGATACTTGTAAAAGATTCTGCTGGTTTACCTGTTTGTCTTAAATGTGAATATTGATGGTATGTCTGCGATGCACAGTTCATCAGTTTTACGTTTAATCATTTGATGGCCACAGAGTAAGATCATGCAAAAATTTCACAGAAACATAGAGTAGAATTGCCTCAGTTGTTTCCTCCTGGTGGTAATCCATGATCAGCTCTCTGCAGGGACTGTTAATGCTGTTGTACTGGCATGACCTGAAAAAGGTTTCAACAGGAGCATTTTTGGAAGTTTCTTCTGAAGAAACATGGAGCCACACCCAGGATACAATACAAAACTGGTATCCTCAACTGTGATCTAAGGATCTGTTTTGTAAACAAGTCAGTGTTAGTGGAAAAAAAATTCAATTCTCACTGGGCAGTTGCTCAGTACTGATAATAAGCCTTGCAGGGTTGGGGTGCAACAGTTGGAAAATAAATGTTCAAGAAAGGACTATAGCTTCTTAGGTCACTATGGCAACTTCAGCAGCATATGTGTGGAGGGGGAAGTGCCAATGTGGATCAGTCTCAGTGGTTGTTTGAGTTCGTTATCCTGTTTAGCAGTAACTACTATCAAAAGAAGATGCAGGAAAGTGCAGAATCAAAAAGTGAGACGTTATGGTGCTTGCAGCCATAAGAGGATACTCTTCCTTCTAGCCTTTTATGAAAAGTTTGTGGCCAAGCCATGATGGTTTTATATTTCTTCCAAAACCAGGGTGCCACTTAAAAGGTCTAAAAGAGGAGAAATTGAAGAATGACCACGTAGACAAAACTGTGTTCTGTTTTCCTAGCAGGCAGGCTTTTGAATTAATTTCTCCATGTGAAGTACTTCAGCACGCTTTTGAAGAAAAGATGCTCTGTTAACTTCAGAAACCAACCTATTTTGAGTAAGTTCTATCCATAATTCCAAAGTGATATTTTTCCTAACATTTGTTCTGATATGTTTGAAGTTTGTGGCATGAACATGTGACCTGTCAACCACAGATTAAAAAATCATTCTAATGCTTTGTTTTGCCAGGAGAGTTGACCTAGTAGTTAACAGGTAGCAGGTTTGCTTTATTACAGCTTTTGATACTATCCCTTCCTTTCTAACATTCTTATGAGTAAACTAAGACAACCTTTTAAATGAGGTCAAAGTCTGCTTGCAAAGTGCTAAGTTCCCTCCCAAACTGAGAAAACATTTCAAGCAAGTGTCCTGCAACATCCTTCCTGGTTTTGGTTCTTATCAAGGTTTTCATCAATTTCATCACGTTAACCTAGGAGCACCCCTAAAATAAGCTAGAGAGCAGGATCACCGTCCAAAATGAAGTTGATAAGCGAGGGATATCTCAACTGAACGATGCAAAAGTCAAGGGGGTGCAAAGTGCTATGCTTAGAAGAAATCGAACACGTTAAATAGCTGTGTATGGTCACCAGGTGGGATTCTGGCTGGCCTCAGTGAGTTGCTTTTTCTCCATGCTCCTACACAGGGAGGGAGATTCCTGGTCAAAACCAGGAAAGAAATGCACTTTCTTAGTAAAGTAGATCAGGCCCATTTCTTCCTGTGATCCTGCAGCCTGATATTTGCTAACAGACAGAGTTACCAGATTTCTGTGTGCAGCACTCATGTAACTGGAATTGTGGTATGTGGGGTAGAGCTGAGCTGGGTTTGGTATTTTTCACTTTTGGAGCAAAGGAAGCCATTTTAGTTGCAAAAGTGCAGTGAGGCTCTGATAACAATAGGACTTGTGTTTGTCCAGAGGAGATGTGGGGGATTTAGGTTGATGGTACCAGAGAACAGGCTTGTTGCCTCTTATCACCGCCATAAAGCGACTTAAACTAATAGTGCAGAGTTGTAGCCATGCTATTGTATGACAGACTGTAATACAAGTACTAGAGGAAGTAGATACAGTGCACAATGGCTGGTATAAACCAGCTACCTGGGAGCATGTTGGACCTATTGGGTGCACATGACCCAGGTGGAGTGGCGGGAAATTCGTTAGATATTTTATGGCTGTTACGGTATTGTCAGATTTATTAGTTGGCTGTGTTGCAGGGAAATTAGCTACATGGTGCCCTATCTGGAGATGTTTATTGAGGCGTGGAGAAGTTGGACATCCAAATAGCAGTAACGATGGTCAGCACGTGAAGAAGGTTTACACACAGCAGGATGAGATGTTCTCTGCAAGAACAGTTGCATAGTGCTGATGCATGCTTCATAAGGGTTAAAGAGATAGCTGAAAGACATGCAGAGAGTCAAAGAGAAGGTCAGCTGGCTGAGTGTGCGTTTGGGGAGGTTTGGCATGCGGGCAGTACGCCAATAAGTTGGTTCCCATGTAATAAGAGGGCCACAGGCCTTCCTGCAGTGGTAAAAGATATGAGAACAGGCTGAAGGACCTTCCAACCAGGGTAAGCCCATATTGAGACGATTTGACAGAGGTCTGACAGGCTTTGAGATTTTTCCCCGAAGGTCTCCACCTGTAGAGGTAGTAGACCAGATTTTCTATATGGGGGGTTCTAGGGGGTGGACTATGCTGGCAGTTCATATACGTCTACTAGATACTGAGTACTCTTGACTTTTCTGGGTGTGTAATGTGTGTAAATGAAGCTGTAACTTGCATTTTCACTCCTTAGTGAAGGGTGTGCATGATCCTTATTTAGAGTCAGGGCCAAAACGCTTAGCAAGTACTTGATTAGGCAATACTACTGGAGAAAAGGATGTCAAGTCCATAGACCGAATGACTCGACAATGACAAGCAGTTACAAAAGGAGCAGGTATCCTTTCAGGTTCTGTTAAAAGAGTTTCATTTGTCAGAGGTGAAAGCTGCATTTTACCCGATAAGGAATAAAGCCTTGGCCAGGGTGCTCTGAGTGTTCCTTAGGACGCAAGCATTCTCACTGGAGAATAAGTACAAAGGAAAGCACAGAGATGGGCAAGCTAAAAATAGAAATCCAGGAGAGGTCAAAACGAGTGGGAGCAGGGAAGTGATGCGGAAATGGTGGACAGAAACGCAACAGTAAATCTTTCAGTATGCAAAACACTGGGATAAAAATAGGATGTGATCAGTTGTCCATAGTTATAAAAAGGAAGTTATAGGGTTATGGGTCTAAAATAAATTGTTTCCTCACAATAGAGATGTTTGATGCTCCCACAAATTTCTAACCATAAAGAAGCTAGAAGCATCAGAATGCCCAATCTAGGCAGATCATGAATTTCAGTCAATGAGAGTTTTAAAGCCTTGCTAAACATCGCTCAGTGATGATCTGACAATGCTTGATCTACCCTTGATGAGGCAATTGCAGAAGCTGTTTTCTTCAGAATCTTTTCATCTCATCATTCCTGCAGTGCTTCATTCGTTATTAGCTTCTCTAAAGATGCATCTCTGGTAAGCAGAATATACTCAGCAATTGTACTGCGTTCATAATGTTTTAACCAAGGTGCCTTGAGACGTTCAAAATTACTGTTGGCAAAAACCTTGAAATCTAACAGGTACCTGAGAGAAGCTTTTCAGCTGCCTGGGGTCCTGTGAACCTGGACTGGCTCAACAGAAGCTTTTCTTTTTCAGTAATATATTTCTTAACCAGATGTTAAGTCGTCTCTGTATACAGCTCTCCCCAAATTCATCAGGACTTGCTGATTTTTCCTGAGGTTTAAGATAAAAACAGAAGTTGCAGTTTTGAGTTGCAAGAGTCCTCTAGTGCCTTCCTGCAGCTCTCGGCATCCACAAAGGTAGGCACATCTGCCGCAAGGGAATGCTACAGCAGCCTGGCTGAGCTCGATGCAGCAGCAAGAGCCATTACTTCTGCCCCACGTGTGCTTAGCTCTCATTTCTCACAGTACCCGAGTGCAGCGTTGTTGCAGGTCTAAGGCATTACAGCGTGACCGCTCACTGCTAAATTAGATTAATTTGTTGCCAGTTTTCAGATTAATACAGTGGTGTGGATACAGCTGTCAGCCTGGGAAGAGAGGCTAGATGGTGAAGCAGCAAGGCAGTAAATGACGTTCCCTCAGGCAGCTCCGCTAGCAACAAAAGTTAAACCTTCACATTTGTATTTTGTTCTTCAAGGACTATTTCTGCACTGAAATCCTAGCAAAAATGTCTCTGACAGCAAAGTCATGCAGAGGGATTTGCCTTCCTCCTGCCCCCTCCGCTTGTTTAGCTGTGGTGCCAGTGGGGTAGGAAGAACTGTAAACTGGGTCAATAAAATAAACCACCTCTGTCCTTGCCCTCTACCCAAAGGGTAGTAGTGGTGGCTGGCTTTAAATCGGATCATTTTCTTGCTCTGGTACAATATAAGGCAGCTCTGCAACTGATTGTATTGGCACAATATGAGAGGGATGGAGGAAGAGTAAGCAGCAGGGGAGAGCAGGCTGCGTAAACTCATTTTGCCAGTTCAAACTTGTTGAAATAATTAAGGTGAGTAAAGTTGATATTATCAAGCTTAGTGTAAGGTTAGTTATCGTTGTCCTGAAGCCAGTATAAAGCTGACCTAAATTTTGTATTGTGAGCCTCGGCGACTTCAGTGGGAATGCCATCCTTTGACCAGGCCAAAGGATTGTGTTTGTCTTTCTAGCTTATTATGTACAGATCCAAATTAATCTTTGTGAAAATGGCAATTATTTTGAATGGCAAAAGTCTATATGACCTTTTTTCGTGTACTGTCAGAAGACTTGCATATTGTACGTTATATGTGCTGGGAGAGGAAAGCCCGTGAGAGTAAGAAATGTGCTTGCTATAAACCTCTTCATAAAAAAGAGCATGGCTCCAGGTGAAATTAGTCTTGACTGTAGTCCCTGGACTATCTTGTCAGTCTTGGTTGAATGTTTAAAACTGCCTGCACACTGCGGAACATTGCTAGATATTAACAACATTTTGATATTTGCTTCCAAGACTGTCTTCCTGGGTCCCAGGCAATTTGCGATGGGATTAAGAGGTGTATGACCAGAGGAGAAGCCTGTGGAAGATTTTCAAGCTTCCTCTGTGGTTAAGGCACAGGACTAGGAGTCAGGAGATCAAAGTTCCGGCCTTGTACGGAAATGATATTTCCTCACATAGACTGCATTGATAAAAAATGATCTTGTAAAAGTGCTTCACGTATTTCTTTGATGGGACCGATGCTTTGTTCTTGCCAGCTTTCTAGCTACTTGTAGCAAAGAGGAAAGCTGTAGCCCCTGACCGCTCCTTTTAATTGCTGGTCATTGCTGGTCTTGGCGTCATTCTCCTGAGTTTTCGGTAATTTGTCTTGGTTTGGATGTCATTTCAAATTGCTGTTTTGAATTCCTGAGCCTCTCATTTGTTGCCTGAAGAAGACAGCACCTCTTACTAATGAAGTAACTGTGCTACTGCTGTGTTGGAGGGATTGCAAAGTATCTGCTCTAGTTTAGACATTGCCTAACCTGAAAAGCCAGCTTGGGGATGACAAACAGAGACTGCTCTAAGAAAGGGCTGTACTATATGGGGATGGCCAATGTGTGGCCATAGTAGTGAGGAGCCACTAGGTCTTACTGGACTTTTTAATAGCCCTAAAGATGTTAATGTGAAATATCTTTGCTCTTCCCAATGGCAGAATGCTCCTTTTCCCTGGAAAATGAAAGGTCAAATGGGAACTGTGAAGGACGTTGAAACAGTGACTTGTGAAATACACCTCTCTTCTGCTCACATCTGATACGTAGGTAAAGTTTTCTGGTGAGATGTTCTCACATGTTAGTTTTCCAGAGCCAGGTACACTTTGAAGTTCTGTGAAAGAAAGTTTTTTTGACCAGTTTGGCAAATGTTGAGTTAAAACCTGCAGGGAGTGGGGATGTTTCAACTCAACCACACTAGCACGCAATTCCGTGAAAGCAGGCTGGTGCATGTTATGAAACGTATAAAATATAACTTTTCAAGTGGAATCGCATATAAAATGTGTATGTATAAACCATATACATTTATAGCAAAAATGAGAGAGGAAAGCCAAATCTTGATGGGGGGAAAAAAAACCCTTGTGAACCACTGTTAAAATTCCATGAAAAATCATAGCAATCAAATAGCTTCTTTTGTAAAAATTCAGAAAACTTCCCAGTTTAACTAAGCTTTCCCATTTGCTAGAACCATATTCTCTGCTCTGCCTGACACACGGAAACGATGACAGTATAAACCTATTTAACACTCAGGTTTGTCTCTGCATAGACGCTAGCATAACTATCCTGCAATGACTATTTCTCTTGATCTATTCCAGATCAGTCCTGGGTGGGGAATTAGCAAACTGACATAAGCAGTTATTCTGGATTAGATATAGAAGCTAGAATAGACGTAGAGAGATGCAGAATTCAGAGTTGCTCAGAAATAATTTCTCTATAAGACGTCGGCAGAGATAAACTTTTATCTCTATAATTGCCTCAGCTGAGTTATGGTTAACACTAAATATGGGATGACTTAACAAAGAAGCTCTTCCTGCACAGAGAGTACTGTCTCATGCCTGTTTTGACGTATGTGCTCATGCCTAAAAGGGTGTTTGCTCATATAATTGTATCTTTTTAAATAGAGTGACTTAACGGTCTGAATAGCATTCCCTGGACCATCCGAATGCCCCTCTCCTGCCCTCGTGTCCGGATAAGAGGTATAGCTGGCTGGCAGCTCCCCTACCTGTGCACCTGGGCAGCATTTGGCGTGCAGGGCTGCTGCAGCAGGGAGCAGTGGGCACGCAGTCAATGCCACCTTTCAGGCCCCTGAACTGAAAGGGCACCATTATAATCTGCATGCCCTGCCAGCCGTATCTCATGACCTGCTGCATGGAGTCTCTCACAACGGATCGAGAGAAAGATAAATCGCAGTCCTCTTATCTGAGCTATCTCCTTGCCAGCGGCACGCTGTGGGGCAGGAACGAAGGTTCACATGTGGTCTGCTCTTCCGTGCAGTCCTTCCTGTGGCTGGCAAGGCACCCTCTGGGGGTGAGCTGACTAGTGGGATGAAAGCCGTAGCCTGGTATCAAATACTTGGAGACCTCTGGCAGCAGTGATGAACAATACAGGAGTGAATGACAACACAAGCAGTACTGCCTTAGCCTTACTCCAAAAGAAAAAGACCACTGGATTGGCTTTCAAAGATGGGTTTACTTTCCTTTTCCCTTGCTACAGTCCTGACTGGATTGTGCGTTTGTTCCTTTATATTTACAGAAGGCCAAATCTTTCATTCAAGTTCACTCATTAATTGGCTTTGTTTTGTTCAGCTCTGATCCACTTCAACTTTGGCTTTCCAGATGTTCATTTCAAGATGGCAAATCAGAATCTAACTTCTGACTTGCCACTGAAGAGGCTGTGTTGCTGGGAAAATCCTATTTAGTTACAATGCAGAGGAAATCAGTCAGTTGTCACACTCAGCTGCAGCTGCAAGGTTTGCGGGTATAAATCTAGACTATACTCCCCCACTGTATCTTTTACCTTCATACTTTCTCCTCTGGAGAGCTCACAGGCACCTGCTTTCCCCATTTATTTTGTAGGGGATGTAGGTGTTTCCCTCTAGAGCACTGCTTAGGAGATGTGGTTCACCTTACCGAACTGCGTCAGCTAAATCTAGGTGTCCACGTTATAAATGCCCACATGTGAACTCGGTGTCTATTCTCCCCATTCTGGGATATGGAGGCTTAATTAATAAAGTCAATACAGTGTTGAAAGTTTTTAGTCTCCTCCTGAAGTAGACACCTAGCTGTGGTCAGGTGTATCCCTTTCGACACTGTACTAACTACATTGACTACTTCTCCAGAGAGAGTAGGTGGGAGTTTAGACCTGTAGCTTCTGGGGAGGTGCCTAAAATTTGCCAGCCTGAATCCCTCCTTACCTTAGGATGGGATGATTTGTCCTTTAGAATTGTCTGTATCTTTTTGTATGTTATAGAGGGAGTGTAGGACGTGGGTTAGGCTAGACATCTAAATGTTATGTAGTTACTGTTTCGTAAGAAGAAATCCAAACTGGGGAATCTGAAGGTGAAGGTGTCTAATGTAGTTAGGCTGGATCTCACCTCAGAAGCTTTAAGTTGGGATGATGCCTCATTCAGATATCTCCAGGGCAGAAGTCTTGCCTTGAGCTGGTACCCTTGGGTTTCCTTCCTAGCCAACAGAGAGAAATGCACACTTTTGGGACCTGGTTCCTCGCTCCTGCCCTTGGTTGGATGAGCAACCCTTTCATGTGCGAGATAAACATCCTGTAGCATAATGTGGGGGGTTGTGAATGTGGAAGAATCGCCCTTTTCACTGACGCATGGCCCTAGGCAGTATAAGAAGTGCCAGCGGCCAACGGGGAAGAGGTGCGTGGTTTGCACGGGGCAGACCCCTCGGGCACCCCGCTGAGGCTCGGCTCTATGGGCTAGGGGAGATTTGTTGCTCCTCGTCTCGGGCAGAGCTCTCAGATGCCAGAAAAAGAGCTTTGCTCCTCTGCTCCTTGGCGCTATGAAAGGCAGGGCCTGGGCTCAGCTACGATGCTGGCCAATTTGCGGCCCCTCACAGTTGAACCATTCACTTTTGTACCCAAACAGGAGCTCACTAGTAACGGTCCTGGCCTCGGCGCTGGCCACGCTGGTTGCGGGGGTGGGTGAGTGGCAGCTGCCAGGATGGGAAGGCTTTTGGAGCACATCTCTGTACGGTGGTTTTAGGAAAGTTGTGCCCTCAAGTGCTATCTCAAGACTGGGCCTGTGCTGATGAAAAATACAAGCAGCATATGCATCATTAGGTTGAATTTTGCCCTTCCTTCTGTGAAAATATGTGTAGTTTTATTCTAAATACTGAAGAAAAATGTAGGAATCCTAGGAAACGTACTGTCATTTTTCCAAGATAGATCCCGTTCACTTCAGTCGGTGTGTGCTCCGGGATTCCTTGCGCCACTTGTGCCAAATGTGCTGCCTGGTGTAAAACGCTCAAGGGTGGATCCACGCTGCCCCTCTGCTGCACACCTGTGAGCTCAGGTCATGTTCCGGTTGCTAGAAGTATGCGGGTGCAGCCAAGTTCCCAGCTGCCTTTGCCACCACTCTCCTCCTCCTCCAACCCTTCGGGTTCAGTGAACAGCACTCGCTGTCTTGGAAAGTCTGTTAGGAATGCAAAAGCCCCTGTCTTTACGTCTAAGCTGCACAATTTTCATACAACAGCCAGCCTGTTTGCAGGCACGTTATTCCCTTTTGAGAAATAAATGTTTACTCCACAGCTACAGCTAGGACTTGCTTAAAATAACACGGGTTATGAGCTTATTTATTTGTTTATCTTAATTTGCGAAATAGTAGTACATGATAATTTTCTCAGAAAAGAAAATTTATAGAAGGTTTTGATGCCATATTTTTGCTTTGAAAAGACAGATAATGAAACTAAAACCAAGCCTGGTTTGCATCCCAGCTCTGTTGAGTTCTAATCCATTGAAACTGAGAAGTTTCAAAATTGAGTATGAGAAAAATTATTGGTTTGATAGGGTCGTAAAGTCCTAAATCAAACTGGACAGCATCACAGCTTTCTCTTTACAGTCTTGTCTATATATGATTTCATAATTTACTAGTATTTTTAGCTTATCTTTTTGCTCCTGTTGCAGATTATTTTGGAAGCTCAAATTATGATGCGGTGGTACATTAGCATCATGTCGAATGCACAGTTTTCAGAGACTTGAGCAGAGGGACCAACAAGTATACTAAGCGCCTCTTTTTCTAGCACAATTATCTGATGTGACTTTACTGTTTTGTCTTAAATTTACTAAGAAGAGAATCAGAGAAGCAAAGTCATGTTTACTAGCAATATAAGTAAATGCAACAACACCGCATCCTTGGCATTCACACTTCCTATGCCCAGTGTATTCCTTGAAAGAATGAGAACATTATAAAGCCACATAAGATCATTTTGATTATGTAGTCAGACCTTCGGCATAACAAAGGCTGTGGCATTTCACGGGTCAATAATCTGCCGTTAATTCAGAGCACTCCTGCCAACTTCATCGTTCACATGTGCACTGGAGTGTGGTCTTCAGTCTCTTTTTACTCCTGACAGCTTGAGTCTTGTCCAGTCTGTCAGACTCCTAGTGTTAATATGGATCTCCTGGTTGACACCTTGCTCTCTTCTTTCTAACAATTTGTAAGCCTGTCTGTCCCATTTGGTCACTGGTTATATGCTCTCTCCCTTTGCCTCTTCCTCAGAGCCATCCCTTTGAGCATCTTGCTAGAACTAGACATTTGAAACAGCTGATTGGACTCGCTTTATTGATTCAACCTTTTCTGACCCATACCAACTTCATGCTTCGTGCTTCGTGCTTCATGCTTCAGCCTCTGGGGTAACACCTGCATCACTATAATCCTTAAAGCCATTCCCAGAATCACAGAATGGTTGAGGTTGGAAGGGACCTCTGGAGATCATCTAGTCCAACCCCCCTGATCAAGCAGGGTCCTCTAGAGCATGTTTCCCAGGATCACACCCAGACGGGTTTTGAATATCTCCAGGGAAGGAGACTCCACTACTTCTCTGGGCAACCTGCTCCAGTGCTCTGTCACCCTCACAGTCGAGAAGTTTTTCCTCAGATTCAGACGGAACTGCCTGTGGTTCAGTTGGTGCCCTTTGCCTCTTGTCCTGTCAGTGGGCACCACGGAGAAGAGACTGGCCTCATCGTCTCGACACCCCGCCTTCAGATGCTTGTAGACATTGATGAGATCTCCTCTCAGCCTTCTCTTCTGCAGGCTGAACAGGCCCAGCTCTCTCAGCTTTTCTTCAGAGGAGAGATGCTCCAGTCCCCTCATCATCTTTGTAGCCCTCCGCTGCACTCTCTCCAGTAGTGCCACGTCTCTCTTGTACTGGGAGGAGCCCAGATTTGGGCACAGTACTCCAGGTAAGGCCTCAGCAGAGCTGAGGAGAGGGGGAGGTTCCTATTGGCCTCACTTTATGGGTCTAGTAAAAGAAAAAATAAACCCTTTATTCATTTCCCTCCCATTTCTCATCACAGTGAAACATCAGTGTCAGGTTCTCAGGACATGATTCAGGACACTGAAACGCAGCTGATGTTTTCTCCTTCTGAACTAGAGTCTTTTCAGGTCTGTCCAGCTTCTCCTGTTTTCACAGGATTTGCTGCTGACCTGCTTCTAAAACTACTTTTTACCAGAAGATGCCCATTTTTCTTCTGCTTTCTTTTTCTATTTTTCCCCAGCATCCTGAGTATCTCAAGTTGGCTCTTATCTATTTTTCCTAAGGATATCTTAGTTTCTAGTTTTGATGCTTGGCAACTTTCTTCTGCTTTTGTGGACTGGTGAGAATCACTTCAGCTAATCTCTTTCACGTGCTTGTTGCCTGGGTAGAGTTGAATCTTCCAGACTTTTCCTAGCCTCCTTCCAGCAGGGTGGCATATGCAGCTGCAGAAAGACTAGAAGAACATAGTAAATCCATGACATTGGCAGGAATTTATAGTTTCTATGTGCATAGGAGCCTCCAAATTATCACAAATTTACATACAAATTTCAGATTAGTTTTATATCTATGAGGAAACGCCCCTATTTCTATGGCTAGATCTCCAGTTAAAGTTTTTAGAAAGCAAATGTAAGAGCATAACTTTAATTTCCCATCTCACTAAAGTGCGTTATGTTGCTTATTGGACATGTAAGCATGATATGCAACGCTACTTCTTTCAACTTCTTGGGATTTCTTCCTGATCTTCCACTTTTAAAACAGCTATCCCAGTAGCATAGCAAGCTTCTAGCACAAAGCATAATGGCAGTGGAGGTTACATGAGGTAATGGATATTTGGTGAACTTCTATGGCAAACAGAATGCTCTGCATGCCATTGAAGTGTGCCCGCTTGAAATACTACAATTACTATGTTGATCAGTAGGGTCTTAGTCGTTCCTCGTCCTGTTTGCTCTCTTCTGTGTTGTACATCCTCTGTATAGATAGAAACTTCATCTTTTCTGGGTTTGTACAGGCAGTAGGAACTGCCTAGGGGTTGTGGCTGGAGCATCTAAGCAATAAGACACAAGTAAGTGATAATGAAGTTGGAGATGTATAGTTTACCTTAATAAAGGGATTCTTTTAGTGTAAGAATCATCTTTGACAGGAGAACTGTATTCATTTGGCTGCATCAAACTGGTTGGGATGAGATCTGCATGTTCATAATCTATCTGTAAAATAATATTTTCATGGAAATGAAGTTTTCTGTTGTGAAAAAGATGACCTGCTGATAGGTCTCTTGCCACACTGTTAGGAAGCAGTCAGTGAGTAGCCCTCCTGTAATATTGGGGATATGTATAAATAGATTTGCATTTGAAAAACATGATCAGGCACTTCCTGAGTTATAGAGCTGTAAATAACTTGCTAGAGCCTAAGGTATTGCCACCTTTGTGTTTGTAGACAATCAGATTAAATTGGGACCTATTTTATAACATAAGAGCGAACATTATGTGTGTTCTACAACCTGAAAAAAAAAGCATTGAAAAACAAAATTTTTGACAATTCAAGGACCTCCAGCAACAGCATAAATGGAACTATTTAATAAAAATTGTACAATGGTCCACCTTATCGTATTTTCTCACCCCTCTCATGCATCAAACGTCTCTCCAGCAGCAAGAGAAAAGAAACAGGGCTTGCATGGACATCATGGAGGTACACCAAACGAGAAAACTACTGATGACTTTGTGGATAATGCTCGGGGAGCTGGAAGTGTTCATCTCTGCCTTGAGTCTTCGAAGGTCAAAAACAGTCACTTCTTCTTCAAGTACAATTGCTTCTTTAGGAAGGTACTGCTAGTAAAAACTATCATTGCTACTTAATAACATGCAGTTCTCTAACTCAAAATGTCAACAGCCTTATTTGCTTTGTGCAGAATACATTTTAAATTATTTTCCTTTTTATTCTACTCTTAGCTATCATGTTAATGTAGCATCTGTTTTTTTCAGTGGGTGTATACTGTATTGTGACTGTAGATAGACAGGACAATAATAGTGGTTTTTATCAATTTATGACTGATACAGGCAAAAAGAGCTCGACAGGGATGGTGCTTAATTAATCGTGCACTCAGGAGTGCAGTATAATATGTAGCTCTTTGAACTTCCAGTACGAAGAAAGAAAATGTGTATTTGTCAGGATAATCTTCGTAGTACTTTCTGAGGGTGAAAAAAGAGAATTTGATTTTTTTTTTGTTTCTTTCAAATACTATTAGTTTTTCATAGTGAGAGCAGTTAAATCTGAACTTTTATAACTTTCCTCTTTAGGAAAGTTTAACAATGCATCTCAGCACTTTTGCTGTGCTCTCTTCAGTACATTTTTCCTGCTTACTGCCCAAATTCAGGACAGTCTCTTAAGTGCTCGGTGAAGCTAGCAGTGATCTGTTTACTCTGTCTTTCTTTGCCACTTGTTATAACCTTCTCAGGCTTCAGAACTGCTTTATTTAGGCTGAGAATAACGGTGCTGGGAGTAGGGTGAGTGCTAGTTCCTCACTGAAATCACGTGATGCGAAATCTGGGAATTCCTGCCTCATTTATGAGCATGCCCAGGATTTCATGTCACTCTCTCTTGATCTAGAGATGCTTACTACAAAGAACTGATCCGAATTCCTCATTGAACAATTTATTTACTCAAATAAACTTTCTATTCAGAAAACACCAGGCATCTTGCTGCTCCCTCAGCTGAACCAAATCTTTTATTTGTTAACAGCTGTGCACTTTCTCTCATTTTGGAAGTCTTTATTTTCAAACAGAAGAACAACTTCAAGAATTCTTCAAAAAAGCAGGTAAAATGCAATCTTTCTCTAAGCAATATTTTCTAGAATAGTTTAATGGAGTTGTTTTGAGAGAAGGAGATTTAATACATGCAATATAAAAAAATAACATATTACAAGTTACTCAAACTTTGCAAGTAGTATGGGGTCTCTGGATAGCATTTATATGCACCTGAGCGTTCAGCAGTTTAAAACATCAGTGAGATAGATACCTCAGGTCTTGTTTATAATATTCAGTTGTTCTCTTTGTTACGTTTCCTTTTTACCATTTTATTATCTCAAACACTAAACTTCCCCAGGATATTAAATACTTTTAAAAATTGTTTTAACTTGCTTTAAATTGTAGATTCTTTGGGTACTCAAACTTACTGTGATTTTTAATTATATTTTTTGTCCCTCTTGTTCTATTTATGTGTAAAGAGAGGCAGTTCAGGCTTACTTTTGGGGTTAAGTATTCTACAAAACATAAACCTTTGTTTTTAAAAAGTACGTTTAAGTCTACATATTGAAATAACACACTGATTAACATACAGTGAATACATCTCTAAAGTAAAATGGTTTAATTAAAAATGAGTGCAGAAGTTATATATTCCCATCACTTTTTCTGAAGCGTTTATTTCATGGATTTTACTCATGTTGACTGTTATATGTAACACACTGTTGTGTTTTTTCTCGTCATCTTGCTTGAATACTCTGGCAGAAAGAGAGCAGCTTGCTAGACAAACAATGGATTGGTCTGTTCTGCCTAGTGCTGTATTTGCTGCAGGAGGGAGAGGGTGAAACAGTCCTGTTTCCCAAGAGCCTGGGGTTTTACAAATTAGCTCGAAATATTTGGGCTGGAATGACACTTAAGGCAGTAGATCAGGGATTAGCCTCATGAAGGATGCTACATAATTTTTATGGGGAACATTTATATAATTTTTCGTGAGGGAAAAAAAATCTAGTACTGCAAATAAAACAGATGTTGAAGAGCTGCAACCTTCAAGAAATACGGTTCAGCTGATGGTGAAATCTTTTTATATTTCTCAGTACATCCATTGATGGAAAACGTAATTATCTGCTACCTGAACTCTCACAAAAAAAGGCTGGTCTTCTCACATGCTACCATCAAAATTCCCGGTAGCTTCAAGGGACAATGCCTGAGTTTTTATCCAAAACTTAGCTTTCAGTGCAGACTTTGATCTTTTAACAGGAGGAGGCTAATTTGGACCTCATCTGTGTGCTGTTGAATTGTCCATATCCTTTTTTCTGAGTTAAACAGGTCACCATGGGTTAGTCTTAAACGTCACTGGAACAAAGAAGGGAAATCATGGATGGTAGAGTTGCTTAAATTTAGAGCTGAACAGATCCTGGTGAGTTAATGAGAAGATTTGTCTGGGTTATGGGCTTTTCCTACCACTAAATCTAAGAACAGAACTGATTCCTCACTGGAAGCCTTTGGGGAGGCTTTTTGAGTAGAAATGGAGGAAAAATTTAGGCTTTTGGGTATGTGAAACTCATGTTGAGGAATAGAAAAGGAAGAGCAGAGTATCAGTCTGAGGGATTTGCCCATCTTTTTTCATTCAGAGCAAGTGTTAAATAAAGCTAAAGCTTCCTAGGAAGAAGTACTGAGAAATGTAAACTTTTATCCCCTTTTTCATTGATAGAGTAATGAAATGCAAAAGTTGTAAAATGGATTGCCCAGGAAGAGCCTAGTCAGTCCAAGACAATGCAACAATTATTCCTGTAATGTTTCCCAATAACAATAGCAGCACAAATACGAAGAAAAAAACCCCACAGTCTAATGATTTATTTTTTATGACTAGGTGCTTTTGCCAAATCACATTCTTCCTTGAGGATTAACTTTGAACTGCCAATTAAAAGTTATTGCTAAATCCTGTTACAGCAGAAAGCCTTTAGGTTCTTACTGTTAAGATTTGGCCATTATCTGTCTCACAGAATAGATTGAACTGTTTCAGTAAATTGCTTTTGCAGACTAGCCACATAGCCAATAAATACATTTTTTGAAGAAGGGTAACAATAATGGTCAGTTTAGGTTATTTCATTCAATTAAAAACAAAGGAAAAGAAATCTAAAAGTGAGACAAGATCAAATATTGCCACATTGTGTTAATAGTACAATAAAGTTTTTCTATTGGTACAGTGATGAATCAATTTTTTTCTTCCAAAGTTATAAAGCATTATAAAACCATGTCAGGCTGTTATATAAAAGAAAATTACTGATATCTGTGTATATAAGGTTGGATGACCTATGATTTTTGGGCAAAGAAGCTAAAATAGTACTAAAATCCTATTTTCCAACAGAGGCCAATTGTTATGGAAACACACATAGCATTCTGCCTTTCTGTGTCTGTCACTGTTCTCAGTAGGGACAAACGGAGCATTATCTAAGAAACCTTTGTGTGGTAGTGGTTGGCAGATGTTTGCTTGTTTAATGTGGTCACTGTAGGACCATCATACGCTTTAAAATCTGTATGACCAGCTAGGAACAGATCAAACAAGAAAGAGGAATGAACACACTGATATTTTAATTTGCCTGAGAGAAGAAGGAAAATATCTTGTGTTCATTAGAAGAGCTATGTAATGCTGCCAAAACAGTTCATTCACTCTGAGATGTGCAGTACATAAACACTGGATTTGATCATAAATTAGCATTTTGACTTTCATGTTCTTCTTATTTTCATTCTTAGCCTTTGTCCTAGACCTATGATCTCATGGAAAATATTGGAATTCTTAAGCTCTGTGGGATTATCACTGCACCCAGTAATTTCCTATCAAAATGGGCAGACACAGGGATATCTCTTTAGAAGAAAAAATGGTAGCATAGAATTAAATAAAAGTTACATTCCTGTTTTGAAAACAAATGGATGAACCTGATTCTATGCAGGATAAAACATCTTCTGGTTGATTAATTGATTAATGATTTTTTTTTTTTTGGCATGTATTAACTTGTTCTGAGCCCATCTTCATGATGCCCATTGAGGGAACACTTAAACCAGCAGAAAATATTCCGCAGAGTTCAAAGGGTTTAGTTACCAGATATGTGGCATATCAGAGGCCTATACAAAAGACTGAAAATGGTATCAAAGAAGAGTTACGTAATTGGTAACATCAGCCACAGCAGGTAGTTCTCAGGCTCTGGACTTACCTATCAGAGAAAATGTCTTTTAAAAAGGAGCCTCAGTAAGTGCAAAAGATACCTAAACCAAAGGTGATTCAAGTCTTATAAAAGACTCTTATTAGCATAGGACAAGGGTATGGAGACATCTATCCTCTGCACATTTTCTAATCTGCTTGTCATTTGCCAGCCTCTTTTCCCATCTATATGAGATAAACTTATTTTTTTCTTTGGTCATATGTTACACTTTGGATGCTTGCAATGTCAGCTGGACCTACATTTTAGAGGCCTCATTTTCTGTTCATTGTCTTTTACTCGCTTCCATAAACATACTAAATCTTTTACTCTCTTGGGAGGGCTAATTATTCTTGCATTTGCTTGATCTATGAAATAACCAGTGCACCCTGCGGATGCTACAGTTGAGATCTCTTCTAACCATTTCTCTTCTCTGACATGAACTGTTTATAGCAGAGAACTTCACCTCCTTTACTTGTATTCCTACAATTATTAGTTTAATTTAAAATAGAAAACCCATCTGCTAGATTTCTGCTTTAATTAAATAAAGCATCTTGGCAAGACAAGCCTTATAACATTGTGATTTCAGAACTGCCAACACCATTGATTATTCTTCTTCAGTAGACTGGGCTGAGATCTGTCTGGCTTCTTCGCACAAAGGACAGCACTTAAATGAGTTTTTAAAATGGTGTCTGTTAATTCTGTTCAATTTGTCTTTGTAGCTCTTTGAGGGACACTTGATTTCGTTCCTAGTAAAATTTATTTTACAGAAAGTGCTCTGCAGAATTTGCAACAGTATGGAGAGGTAACTTAGAAATTTATTTTGATTAAGCTAACCAGACTTCTCTAGGCAAAATTATTTGCCAGGCAGGTGTAATTTATCGTTGGTATTGTTCATACCGTACTGTACTCTGAATATTTTCCTGTTGCATTTAGGAATGTATTCAGGAGAATTTCAGGTTAAGGGGCCTATTTAAAGTAAGAACAGTTTCTAATTGTTTGGCAGCTCTGGCAATACCTTTTCTTTTATCTTTTTCATAGACACAATGCGCCTTTGTAAACCTCTGTTAATCATCTTCTAATTTCCTGATTTAGTAATTAAAAGTTTCTTGATCTATTTCATCAGCAGCAGGGAAAATTCTACCTGGCAGTAGAGAAGGACAGCAGGCTAATTACAGGGTTGTGAATACAAAAACCAATGAAAAAATTGTTACCTAAAGCAAGCCTTGGGATATATGTGGATGATACAGCTGTGTGCCTTTAAGCTAAAGTTCCTGAAAATTGGTGAGGGAAAAGAAAGGAAGAGACACCTTACCATTGCTTCTGTAGAAAATTTGGCAGCAGAACATAACTGCTCACTAACAGACACAAGAAAACTTAGCAGGAGAGCCTTAAAGACCCCCAAACATTTGTCCATACAAAGCTTCCGTCAAGAACCTGCCTTTTTCAACAGTAATCTCAATCTGTTGAAAGCAAGCCTCCCTTAGTTTTTGTGCTGGTGGCCTCTGTTTGATTTTACATCTGCTAATATTGTTTTCAAAATCCACTTTGTTGTGCTTGTATGCTCTAGCTTGATTTACTTTAAAATTTCGTAGTGCACTGAATGGGGCTAACTCAATTTATAAACTGATGTTTCACCCTGCAGATATAATTTCCTGTTCAAAATTGTCTTTCCTGGTGCGTTTCACTAAGAATCTCAGAGGACAGGGGAAGAAATGCTTAAATATATCCCATAATGGACAATTAATCTTTATGTGAGCTGGAGCTTGATGAACTTGCTATTTGTGGATGACTCTTCATGTGATGGCTCAGGACTTTGGAAGAATTCATCAAGATCCAGCTTGAATAATTACATCAGGGTGGATTGTTGCAAGTGTGCA